TTTTTTTTATCTGGTCTCAACCATAGACCAGATACACGACCGGATGTTGGCAAAAAAAGTCAGTTTTGATTTCGTTCAAAAAATATAATATGTCCGTTCTGACGAAATGGCTGTTTCAAAGTTTAGGTTAGCCCGTAATGATGTGAGGGCTAGCAAGCCCAGAAGGACATCGTATGTGTTCACATCTAGTACTACGGCATCTCCTAGGGCGTGAACTTCCCCTAATCGAAAAACAATGTTTGTCATTCTACCTACCGTTTTGATTCTCTCTTTATCCGCTGAGACGATATAATCTCCCTCCGTTAACGTAATTAAATCCTTCCTTCTCCCTGCCCGCTCTACGACTCTCAACGAGATAGCCAAGACTGCAGCTCCCGAACCAATAATGGCATTATACGGAATTCCCCAAACCTCGATATCACATTCTACGGACTTCCACGGGATGGCTTTGATCTGCAAAAAGTGGTGACCGTCATCCTTTTGAATTATTCCTAACCGTATCGGGTCCGAAGTACTAGGAGTGTTTGGCTTGTCTTTGAGAGCAGGGGCCTTCCCTTTCTATGCCGCCAACTTGGTGAGAGCAAATCGTTTCCTGTTTGCCTTGCAATGCTGCAGCATGCATTCGTTGGTTTGTTCCGATATGAACAACAGGTGTCCGATGGGCAACGAAATCCGGTGATCCAGGGCTCGGACGACGTCCAAGACATCGGTCTCCCTAGTAACAAACGTAGGACCACTTGACTCCATTTCCCCCGGTGACGGTCTCCACTCGGCTACCTCCTGCCGTTCATTCGCAGAACGGATGGTTCCTATCATTCCCAGTCCCGGATAACCCAAGGCGACGTATTGGTCAAGCGGGATAAGTTCCTCAGCTTCCTCGGTAGTGGCTACCGCACTTCCCCCTCCTTCTATTTCCTCAATCATCGTACCTACCCTTCCTGGTCTGTTGGCCATAGGTGCAGCGGCCACAGGGGCAGCCCCAACTCGAGCTTGTACAGGTCCGTGTGGGCAGTCTCGAACTATGTGGCCCGACTAATGACATGTGTAACAAACGTTTAGATTGGCCGCCTCTTCGTCCATGGCCTGAGCGGGGGCGATTCCTTGCGGCACTGGCATGGCCCTGATGGCAATGGGACGCATCGATCTCATCAATGATTCTATCCTAGCGTTGTGTTCACGTTGTTCTTTCTTACTTTCGTGCATCAAGCTAACCAAGGTTCGAGTCAGTTCTAGTATCGCATTGAATTCGATTGGCTTGGTCGAAGTATCCAGAGGAGGCGCAGGAGCGGCCATAATGGGTAGTCCCGTGGTTGTGTCAGGTATCGGTCTCTTAGCTATGACCTGTTCTAAGTAGGTGACGGGGCCGGAGACGAAACCCATATTCTCAACTTTGTTTTGAACCGCGGCCAGCTCGGCTTTCGCCCTGGTTAGTTCTGAGGAATCCCCCTCCTTGGCGTGGTCCTCCCATTTTAGGAAGCTAGCGGCAAACTTCCTCTCCATCTCTTCCGCTCCGTCCATGATTTGTTGCATAGTGTGATTGATGGGGGAAAACTGTTTTCGAAGTTTCGCTCTCATTGCCCGGCTACGAAGCCCATCAATGAACAAATATCTTCCAACCTTCTCGTCCCTCTCGGATTTGACAAACAATATGTAAAACCTACTACGATATTCTGTAACCGACTCGAGGGGCTTCTGAACCCGATCTTTGATCATAAAGAAGGCCTATTCAGGGTGGATGTAGTCGAACTTGTTCAAGAAGTCTCGTTCGAAGGTCGGGAGATCTATCCAAGTGTAAGTGTTGAACCAATGGTGTGCGTCCCCTCCCAATCGGGCGGGGATATCGATCCTGGCTTCATCGTTGTCGTACTGTTGTGCACGCAGTGTGGCCAGCCATGCCCCGGCCAGGTGATGCGCAGTGTCAAAGAGATACAAATCGGGTGGAGCCGCAGGTGCGCAAACTCCGTTTGGAGGCGCGGGAATAGGTGCCCCGCCGAGCTATACATTAAATGTTTTGCGCTTGATTGATGTTCATGTTGGCGGCCTGCCGACCAGTCGATCTGCTCCTAGTTACTATAGGATCACGTCACGGCACGTTCCGCTGTATAAGCCGCCCTCTGTTCGCCAGATCGCTTGTTCGACTTACCTACTCGCCACTCTATGAGCTCGCCACGTGTCGGCTTCGATACCAACCTCACGCCCTGCACAACTTCCTGATCGGAGTGGGATGGGGGCACGAAAGTGCGAAAAAGGGGTGTGCCAAGGATTTTAGGAAAATGGGGTCGAAGTCTCAGGTCGGAACTGAGATCTCCTATGACAAGCTCTAGGGTATCTATGCAAGATGGCAAGCGCAGGTCGCATCGAGCCTTTTAAACCTCAGAGGGTGGATCACCATCCTTTTAAACTTCAGAGGATGGATCACCATCCCCGCGGGTTTGTCGTCGGGGTCTATCCCGTATTTGGTGTACCAGCGGGACGTTGTGGCTGTCGCGATGTCTGAGTAATTGTTGCCGACGAACGTCACAACTTTCGAAATCGGACGTGGTAGGCCTCGGTCGAAGACTGTGTGCCCGCCGCTCGATTTCGGAGAGGGTTCGTCGGGTGAACCCTGCGGCCTGGTAGGCACGGTCCTGCTGGCACTCAGAACAAGGTGGGTTGCGCCAATAAGGAGCAATCGCACGCCAGGGGGCGATCATTAGGCTATAGAAGGGTAACATGATGTAATAAGGGGATATTCCGTTTCGATGATGATGACGTCGGGTTCCGCGATAATCTGACACGTGGGCGGGCCGGATCGGCGAAAAGGGTAGGGAATGTCGTTTAAGGCTCGCCCGATGTCCCACTGACAAACACGCTCGCGCCCCGTTCGATAGGGGAATTCCGGGAGTTTGGCTCTGGGGCGTGTAGAGAAGTGTGTGCGCTCCCAATATCCTCGAAATTCCCGGTCTCTCAAACACTCGCGATCAATAACATGGAAAGGAGTTTCAACATTCATACTGTAGGTCTAGCATATCCCCTATCATTCGGGAGGCGGGTCGCAGGCAGGTTTTGCAGACACGTGTAAGCGACGGCCCTCGGAGTCGAGCTTACACGTGTGTGCACGAGGCCAGTGGGTTATTCGCCGAGAATGGGTTCGATCGGGTGTGCCTAAGGGAATACATCCATACATCTAACATGCCCATCTACTTTCCCTTCGAAACACCCATACGTTGTTACATATGCGCATAGCCGGCAAAGATCGCGTAACCAACGGTCGATTGATCATTCTGATTGCCATTTCAAACGAACCAAAAGACGTATTTCCTCTAAAGCTGATCATCCATGCATTAGTCGAAATTCACAGGTTGGGGGCAGGCACATGGCCAGTCACACGACTTCCTAGTCTATATTGCAAAAGAAGGAGAAGAATGGGAAATCAACAAGTATGCATGCATCACAACACTCCATCCAACTCGACCATTCATTCACACCGTTTTGGCCAAAAACGCGTTGAAATTGGACACAGACAATTATTATACTCAACTCTACTCCATTACTCCTGCACCGTCGCCCACTGATCTTGATACCTGAGTCTCCCAGATGAAAGTCCGCTACCGTAACCAATCGTGTTAGGCCCAAGGCTGAGCCTAGCACTAGCGGACACCTGTATAAGCGGATACCGTGCGACGCGCAGGTCTACTGAAACGTCTTCAAAATCACACAGTTGTCCGTCCTCATACGTACGCACAAGTCACAGGCAAACGCACCAATCAGGGGACGATTTTTTTTTTAATCCTAACTTAATTAGAAGTAAAAATTTGGCCGACGATCACACCAGCTCTTCTATCTTCAACAAATAGAATCACGCGCGCCTCAAGCCTGCGCGCCCACACACTCCCTACTCTAGTCTAGTCAACCATGTAGACAACGTAAATCACAGACTCAGCCGCGCCCCGCACGATATACTTAAACTTCAAATCAAACTTATTTTTCTGTCGTTTGCAAAAAAAACAGGGCGGATACCCTTGTAAGGGTATTCCCACCGACACGGCAGATGTTCAGCAGCCGGGCGTTCGGGAGGAAGTACTGAGAGTGTGACGGGGAAAAGGAGACTCAGTGGCGAAGGTTCAGGTATGCGGGGTGGTGTCACGACTTTGACAGTGGACATGGGGACAGGGGGAAGGTCACAACGTCCGAGGAGGGTACCTCGGCTAGAGGGAGGAAAGAAGAACAACCCCTGGACGTTGGAGGAGCGAATAGCGTTTGCAAACATAAGCGTGGAAGATGATGTTCTCATGGCTGATGCTAATGGTGTGCTTCGACACATAACGAGGGCGAAGAGGTACGGATGGATAGCGGGTCGGTTGAGAGATGAGGGGTACAACAGACGACGGAGGATTGCAGAAAAACATGGACGAAAATGAAGGGCATCGTTTGCCAGCTCGGGGACAAGTGCTACAGGTCTGGGCAGCTGGGGTACTTCAATATGACGACAAAGCAGCGAAGGGAGAAGGGGGTATGCACAACGTTCGAGCAAGGTCTTTGGGATGCGATGGATTGGTGGCCATTGAAGAAGTCATACACGTGCGACACCACTCTGGCGTCCGAGGAGTTGGGAGGTGCCCTATCGCAGGGGGGGGGGGGGGGGGGGGCGGAGGGAGCAGTTTGGGGGAGGGTGGCTTAGGGAGCAGGTCAGGGGAAGCTGGTGGAGGGAGCAGATCGGGGGAAGGCAGTAAGGGAACGGATCTGATTCGGGGCAAGGTGGTGGAGGAAGTGGATCGTGGCAAGGTGGAGGGGGGGAGCGGATCGGGGCAACCGGGAAATGGGGCATCCGATGCCGCTGCCACGGAAGCGTCAGACATCAGTGCCAAGTCACGCAGGACATCATCCGGGCAGGTGCGTGGGGAGGCAGCTGCATCTTCATTTGGGACGAAGACGGCAATGGAGGATTCGGCGAGGACTCTTTGCGAAGGTCATGAGAAGGTGTCGGGGATGCTCGCACATGCGATGTGCAAGGGAGCGATGATGATGTCCACGAAGACAGGTGATGTAGCTGTCCAGATCGGAGCTGTTGCGGGTGCCATGCACGATGGGAACGGTGTCCTGCCGAGCCTTGTTTCGTTTCGGGATTTGGCTGTGGATGGCGTGACTCCTACACGTGTGCCTGTGTGTTTACTTGTTGTTCCAGAGGGTCGTTCAGTTGAGTCCTTTCAGTGAACGATCCGTTTCCGATCGTAGACGCTATATGTAATTATGAGAACCGAAAAAAAAGTGAAAAGAACAGGAAAAAAAAGGGAAAAAGTTTACAAACTTGGGTCCACCGCAGAGACGTTTTCGGGCGAGAACATTTTTATGCATCATGCATGTGCTCCCTCTTGTTTACCATCAGTACAAGGACTTCGTTGTTGTCCTGCATGTTGTTTGTGGTGCGGGAAGTGCGCTGCGATGTGCACACTTCGTGCGCGGTGACAACAGCGCAACGGGGAGAGAGAGAGAGAGAGAGAGAGAGAGAGAGAGAGAGAGAGAGAGAGAGAGAGAGAGAGAGAGAGAGAGAGAGAGAGAGAGAGA